CCATGGGATTCTCCAGGCAAGAATACCGTACTGGGTTGCCATGCCCACCTCCAAGGGATCGTCCTGACCCAGAGGTCGAACTTGCATCTTCTGCATTGAAGGTGGATTCTTTGCCCAGTGAGCCACCTGGAAAGCCCATATATATGTATACACACCCACAACTGTATATGTACACAGACACACACAATTAGTAATAGCCGTCATTTTTTTAGGCCTTCATTGTACCAGGAACTCTGTACTTTGTATATGCAGTGCTTTACAAGCATCTCCTTATTTAATACATACAGCATTTCTATGAGTTAGGTACCATTGTTTTTTTCACAGTAGAGAAGCTGAGGTTGAGAGAGTTAAGTACCAATCTCAGATACCTGTCAGACTGGGATTTGAACACAGGCCATCAATCTACAAATCATGGCACCAAGGTTTTAATGATTGCCCTTCAAGGGATCACTGAGTTATCTCATTAGGATTCTGGCCCAGAGGAAAACTTGTATTTCCAGAAGGGGTTAAGGAAGAGCTTCTTTTAAATTGTACCTCCATCTCAACCCCCAGAGGCACGGTAGAAGATTTTGTTATTCTTTCAGTTCAATTCAGTTCAGTCGCTCAGTCGTGTCTGACTCTGCGAACCCATGGACTGCAGTATGCCAGGCTTCCCTGTCCATCACCAATTCCTGGAGCTTACTCAAACTCATGTCATTGCATTGGTGATGCCATCTAACTATGTCACCCTCTGTTGTCCCCTTCTCCTCCTGCCTTCACTCTTTTCCAGATCAGGGTTTTTTCCAGTGAGTCTGTTCTTCGCATCAGGTGGCCAAAGTATGGAGTTTCAGCTTCAACCTCAGTCCTTCCAATGAATATTCAGGACTCATTTCCTTTAGGATGGACTGGTTGGATCTCCTTGCAGTCCAAGGGACTCTCAAAATATTCTCTAACACCACAGTTCAAAAGCATCAATTCTTCGGCACTCAGCTTTCTTTATAGTCCAACTCTCACATCCATACATGACTACTGGAAAAACCATAGCTTTGACTAGATGGACCTTTGTTGGCAAAGTAATGTCTCTGCTTTTTAATATGCTGTCTAGGTTGGTCATACTTTTCTTCCAAGGGGCTAGAATCTTTTAATTTCATGGCTGCAGTCACCATCTGCAATGATTTTGGAGCCCCCCAAAATAAAGTCTGTCACCATTTCCATTGTTTCCCCATCTATTTGCCATGAAGTAATGGGATCAGATGCCATGATCTTAGTTTTCTGAAGGCTGAGTTTTAAGCCAGCTTTTTCACTCTCCTCTTTCAGTTTCATCAAGAGGCTCTTTAGTTGCTCACTTCCTGCCATAAGTGTGGTGTCATCTAAATTTGAGGTTATTGATATTTCTCCTGGCAATCTTGGTTTCAGCTTGTGCTTCCTCCAGCCCAGCATTTCTCATGATGTACTCTGCATATAAGTTAAATAAGCAGGGTGACAACATATATCCTTAACATACTCCTTTCCCGACTTGGAATCAGTCTGTTGTTCCATATCCAGTTCTAACTGTTGCTTCCTGACCTGGATACAGATTTCTCAGGAGGCAGGTCAGGTGGTCTGGTATTCCCATCTCTTTCAGAATTTTCCACAGTTTGTTGTGATCCACACAGTCAAAGGCTTTGGTATAGTCAATAAAGCAGAAATAGATGTTTTTCTGGAACTCTTTTGCTTTTTCGATGATCCAACAGATTTTGGTAATTTGATCTCTGGTTCCTCTGCCTTTTCTAAATCCAGCTTGAACAACTGGAAGTTCATGGTTCATGTGCCCCAGCCCCCCATCCCCCTCTACCAGTCCCCCAAGCTTCTGCTTTGTGGTCTGGCCTGATCTCTTGAAGCAGCCATTCTGATCTCCATTTCAGGGTTGCTCTGACAAGGACAGCTGTGTTCTCCCCTGGCACTTCCAGCACACACTGTGTATTCCCTCGGTGGGCCTTGAGGATAGTAGCGATTTCCTCTCTGACTCGTGCCTAGGAGCAGGCTCCAAGATTTTCTCTGTCATTCTTTCAATGGTCTGTCTTCTAAGCAGCACTTGGGTGATGAATACAACTCAAAGGATGCACTGTGATGTCACCAGCCCACAAGCGATGATGTCAGAGGCACAACAGTAACCAGAGCATCAAGAAGCTGACAGCAATGGCTTCTACTTATTTCAAAATATCAGCAATGCCAGGAAATAAGTCCCTGTTAAGAAAACCTAAGTCTTTCTAGTTTCTAATTTTTTAATGAGATGGAAGGAAAAAGGTTTAGCTGGAACTAACTTCAGCACTGTTTGTATCAGTGTCTGTGCTTAAAAGAATCACAAAATTTCCATACATCTCAGCCTTTCCTCCCCTCTAAAAAAATAAATATTTTTAAAAAAAGATCACAAAATTTCACAAGCATCGTACTGCCTGGAAAAAGTATCTCCAATTATAAATGGTTGTTACTGAAAATTCAAGTCCATGTGCCTGATTCACGCGTGAGGCCAAACAATACCAAAACATCAGACTTTGGAACGGAGAAGGATTACTGATGGCCATGCAAGGAGATGGGTGCCTCATGCCTTAACAACACTGAACTCCCTGAAAGCTTTCAGCAAAACCCTTTTCTAGGAAAGGTGAGGGAGGGGTGCAGTTAGTTGTTGCAGACTTCTTGGTCTCAGATTCTCTGTTCTTGAGGTCAGGTCACGGTCAGGTAACGGTGTTCTTGTAACTCTCTACCAAATGAAGGTTATTCTCTGTTCTGACGAGAATGGGCAAGGCCCCAGGGCACAGCTTTTACCCTCCAAGGTCTTGGTCCTGGCTAAGAGGAGGCAGATCTCAGTTGGCAGCTTCCTCGGGACCAGGTCTCCAGACCCTGCCCAGGTGTCATCACTGAGGGAGCCAGACAAGCAACCCAGCTGGCCCTCGGGCTCCTCAGACTGCCCAAACAGGGGCAAGAGGGGTGCGGCGGGTGGAACTGGGTACCGCAGACTGTGAGCCAGGCCGATGGCCCCTGCTCTTAGGTCACAGAGGCGGGATGGGGAGAGGTTCACCGCTGCCTGAAGGCCTAGGCCAAGGCCAGTGGGTGGCCGTGGTGGGCGTTCTGGAGTCCTGCAGGACGGAGCCCCAAGCCTATTCCCTGAGCCCCCCGAGTTTATCCACTGGCCTAAGGCCGGGGAGAAGGCTGGGATCTGCCTCTTACCTTACTCTCCACCTGAGGACCACGACATCACACACTTGGCTGAATCCCCCACTAACCGGCCCTGATTGACAGCTGGTTGCTCGTGGGCGGGACCCACTGTGGTGCTGACCAATGGCTGAACAGGCCCACTGACGGTGGTTCATTGACAGCTGGTTGCTCGTGGGCGGGACCCACTGTGGTGCTGACCAATGGCTGAACAGGCCCACTGACGGTGGTTCATTGACAGCTGGTTGCTTAGGGACAGGGCCGCTTGTGGCGCCGCCAGCAGGCTGAGCTGGGGGCCTTGCCTGGTGATGGTGTGCTGATGAGGCTCAGCAATGTCTGTGTGCTAATAGCTGCACTCCCCGGGCTCTGTCCCAGGACTAGAATGTCTCCACACACTGAGGCAGGTGCTAAGTCACGTTTTCACTTCACAAACCACCCCGCTCATGTGGAGCACAGGGAGGTTTTATTCTGGGAACCTATGGGAAGCACCCTGCAGGTTTGTGAATCGGGCCATTTGGATGGAGGGGACCAATGGTGAGGTCGCAGAAAGGTTTTGCCTCCAGGTTTTGTCCTTCCTCTCTGTTGCAGTGGCTCTCCTCTCAGTTCAGTTCAGCTCAGTCACTCAGTCAGTTATGTCTGACTCTTTGTGACCCCCATGGACTGCAGAAGGCCAGGTGATGGTTGTCCATCACCAACTCCTAGAGTTTACTCAAACTCATGTCCATCACGTCACGAACCTCTGTCCATAGTTCTTCAGGCACTCTATGATATCTAATCCCTTGAATCTATTTCTCACTTCCACTATATAATTGTAAGTGATTTGATTTAGGTAGTACCTGAATGGTCTAGTGGTTTTCTCTATTTTCTTCAATTTGAGTCTGAATTTGACAATAAGGAGTTCATGATCTGAGCTACAGTCAACTCCTGGTCTTGTTTTTGCTGACTGTATAAAGCTTCTCCATCTTTGATTGCAATGAATATGATCAATCTGATTTTGGTATTGACCATTTGGTGATGTCCATGTGTAGAGTCTCTTCTTGTGTTGTTGGAAGATGGGGTTTGCTATGACCAGAAAAGGGAATGTCAGAGAAGGGAATGGCAAACCACTTCAGTATTTTTGCCTCGAGAACCCCATGAACTGTATGAAAAGTCAAAAAGATAGGACATTGAAAGATGAGCTCCCCAGGTCGGTAGGTACCCAATATGCTACTGGAGATCGAGAAATAACTTCAGAAGGAATGAAAAGATGGAGCCAAAGCAAAAACAACATCTGGTATGGATGCGACTGGTGATGGAAGTAAAGTCCGATGCTGTACAGAGCAATATTGCATAGGAACCTGGAATGTTAGGTCCATGAATCAAGGCAAATTGGAAGTCATCAAACAGGAGATGGCAAGAGTGAACATCGACATTTTAGGAATCAGCGAACTAAAANGATCAGCAAACTAAAATGGACTGGAATGGGTGAATTTAACTCAGATGACCATTGTATCTACTACTGTGGGCAAGAATCCCTTAGAGGAAATGAAGTAGCCTTCACAGTCAACAAAAGAGTCTGAAATCCAGTACTTGGATGCAATCTCAAAAATGACAGAATGATCTCTGTTTGTTTCCAAGGCAAACCATTCAATATCACAGTAATCCAAGTCTATGCCCCGACCAGTAATGTTGAAGAAGCTTAAGTTGAATGGTTCTATGAAGTCCTACAAGACCTTCTAGAGCTAACACCCAAAAAAGATATCATTTTCATTATAGGGAACTAGAATGCAGAAGTAGGAAGTCAAGAGATACCTGGAGTAACAGGCAAATTTGGCCTTGGAGTACAGAATGAAGCAGGGCAAAGGCTCTTCTCTCACGAGGCCTATAACACATTCAGCACTTGCTTCAGATTTAATGTAAGAATTTTATTTGTATTTATTATTGTTCCAGATATTTTTCAGTGTTGAAGAAATGTTTTGCAAAAGTCAACATATATTATCCTAGACGAGGTAAGTTAAAATGCCTAAAAGTAATAATTTTCCCTAATTGTAAGCAGTTTGTGGAAAATTTGAAGTGTAGGAAATTACTGATAATCCCATTAACCCAGAAGCAACCATTGCTAGTAGTTTTTTTTTTTCTTTCTTTAAGTCTTTCATTCTGAAGCTCTGTTTGCAAATGAAAAGACATGGCCCCTGCCTGATAGGAACTTATAACTTTAAAGGTAACACAAATGAGAAAAATTTAGACAAAAGAAGGTAAAAAACCAGATTCCATATAAAATAAGGATGATGATGCTAGGAGGTAGAAACATGAGTTTTTCTATAAACATATCTGTTCAATTTTTATACTAATAAAAGAAACTTGTAAGAATCCATATACAGAGCCAATTTAGGAAAACAGGTGAGTTTTTCTCTGAAACTAGTCAATTAGTGACTCTAAAACAATAAGTGAATGAGCATCAGGAAAACAGCTAATGAGTAAATTCGGGATTAAGTCAGAGGCTAGCAGGGCTTTCCAGGTGGCTCAGTGGTAGAGGATCCATTTGCCAGTGTAGGAGACGAAGAGACGTGGGTTCGATCCCTGGGTCAGGAAGGTTCCCTGAGTAGGAAATGGCAACCCGCTCTAGTATTCTTGCCTGGGACATCCCATGGATAGAGGAACCTGGTGGGCTACAGTCTATGGGGTCACAAAGAGTTGGTCACAACTGAGTGACTGAGCGTGCACACACACACAGGAGCCTAGTAAGTCAGAAAACAAATCTAAGATATTTAGTACATACTGTGTCTTTGATAGGCTCACTGCTTTCTGCAGTGTCACTGAGACCTACACGGCCTGGAATCAGCCACTTTCTGCCTTTCCTGCTATTTACATTTGCAGGAAAGTTGCTTCTCCTCTCTGGTGTTTCCTCATTTAAAAAAATAGGAAAGATACCTTGTTGTGAGTATTAAGTGAGATAATTTATATTAATGTATTTAATACAGTCCCTGGTACCTAGTAAGTGCTCAGGAAATATTAAGCCTTGTTAAAAGCGCTGTAAGGAAGTAGATGAAAGATCAAATTCTGGTCAGATTGCCTTGTCACTCTTGTGGCTTTTTTCTACTTGCTTGTAGGATCAAATCATCAACAACAATCTCTATTTAACAACTCTGTCCCAAGAGTTTTAGAATGAACCAGTTTTTTTTTTCTTTGAATTGTTTTAAGATAATCATGAATTTATCAAAGTAAGCATTCATGGTTTGCTTCTGGGAAGTCCAGAGTTTTCTAAGGAAGACTTTTACATCACGAAGCCTCTGATAAAGAAGTAGTTATTTACTATTAATGAAATCACATGCATTTTCACCATTAAATCTTAGGGGGGAAAACCCCCTAAAAGAATTCTTTATCTTAGAAACAGTAATGTTGGATATATTTGAAGTCCATTACAACTTGGCATTTTGCAGCCCTCAGCGATGCCCCTATGGTGAGATGATGGAGAAAAGAAACAGACCAAATGTGAACATATGTTACACTCCATAAATATTATATATTTATGGAAAAGTGAAAAAACTTTTACCCACTATTCAGTGTTTAGCATGAGACTAGGATAATTTTTTAAAACATACATTTTATTTCATTTTTAACTTTTATCGGAATATAGTTGATTACCAATGTTGTGTCAGTTTCAGATGTACAGCGGAGTGATTCAGTTATATGATACATATACGTGTACCTATTCTTTTGAAAATTCTTTTCCCATTTAGGTTACTACAGAGTATTTAGCAGAGTTCCTTGTGCTATATATATACAGTATGTCCTTGTTGGTTATCTAGTTTAAATATAGTGGTGTGTACATGTCAACCCCAAACTTCCAATTTATCCCTCCCCATACCTTTCGCCCTAGTAACGATAGGTTTTTTCTCTAAGTCTGTGAGTCTGAAAAACATGCATTTTAAAAACTAACATTTATTGTTTTCATATTATACAATTAAGCTATGTTTATTCTAGAAAATTTAGAAAGTAGGAACAAGAAAAATTTTAACATTTTTATATACTTCTGCCAATTTCTATATAAATAGGTATCAATGTATTCATCATTATAATATGAAGTTTTAATTTCTAAATTCATAAAGAAGCAATAAGTCAACTGGCTTACTTTGGTTTGCTGGGCACTGGCTTTTACTAGAAGACCCTGTTGTGTGTGTGTATGGAGGAGACGAGTTGTTCGAAATCACTGTTTGATTTCTTTTGAGTTTTTGTAGCGTAGGATCTTGTTACAGTGTGGTCTGGGAGCCCATAGCAACAGCATCAACTGGGAGCATATTAGAAATGAAGAATTTTCAGCTTTACCCCAGACCTAGTGAATCCCAACTGTATAATATGATTCCTGGGTGATTTGTATGCACATGAAATTTTGAGTAACATTACTATAGAAACAACTTGACAAAGTATTCAATATTTTTTTTTTTTCTCTAACAAGACAGTCATTTAAAGCCTGATTAGTCCTTATTCCCAGAACAACTTGTTCTTCAACCAGACGGTGAGCTGCTTCCTGGGTTCTCACTTCCACAAAAGCAGTGTTGGAACGAGTCTAATAAGAGATCCACTAAAGAACCTGCAGGAAAACATTTTGCTAGCTCTCCCAGCCAGGAGATGAAAGGCACAGAATGAACCTGGGACCTACCAACATGCCAATAAAACTCCACACATTTGAAGTCCTTGTTGTACAGCATGTTACAACTTCATGCTCTTCCGGGGCTCAGTGTTGAACGACTGGTAAATGGTGTTGAACCAGTTGATAAACCAATTAATGAAGTTTATCAATACCATTTTCATCAGTGGAGATTTTGATGCAGAGGTCTATTGACCTGGAGAACTGAGTCTGGCTTAAAGACCAAAGAGGAAGAGAACACTCCAAAACAACACAACCTATCAGTTGAGGAGCTTTTAAGATGGGAGTAAAGGCGTGCTTTCTCACCCTCCGATTCCTTATTTGCTAGAGTAGGAGTGCATCGGCAAAGCAGGGCTGTGGCAGTTTCCTGGTAGGCATGACTAATAATTATAGCCTACATTTGACAGCATTTTATGATTCGCAAAGTACAATGCTTCTCAGACTTTAATGTGCATATAAATTACTTGAAGATTTTGCTAAGATGAGGATATTGATGCCTAGCAGGCCCAGGGTGGGGCCTGAATTTGCCATTCTAACAAATTTGCAGGTGGTACTAATATTGCTGGTCCATAAAGTGCATTTTGAGTAGCAAGTTCTTACCATGATCTCTTTTGAGAGTCACAGAAATTCTGGGAGGTAGGTAGAGCAAGCATTTTTTTCCCCCTTCTTCATCAGAATATTGGCTCTATGAGGGTGTGGATTTGGATACGTTGCTCATTGCTATATCCCAAGTGCCTATAATAGTAGGCACACAGTACATTTTTATTGGATGGATGAATGGCTGAGTGTTAATACTATAGAGGAATTTAAATAATGCTTTAACCGAAGTCACATTCTATTAAGTGATGAAGCTGGCATTTGAGGCTAAGAATCTACCTAAATCTGAATTCAGTACAAAATGAACCTGTTTAGTGAATTGACTTTGTTTTTGGTAACAGAAAACAAATTTTTGAAGGAACTTTTAAAATTGAAGTATAAAGGAATGGCCAAATCATAAGTGTATAATTAATTAATTCATACAGAGGAGCATACAGAACCATCTCTCAGATCAAGGAATTACCAGTTCACCAGAAATGTGCCTCCACTTGCTTCCAGTCATGATCCTCTCCTTTAGAGGTGGGTGCTGTTTGACTTCTATCACTGCAGAATAGCTTGAATTTGATAGAAGTTATGTTTTATAATAGATACTATTTAGTGTTTGCTTCTTTCACTCAATATTATATTTGTGTTCTTAAAGAAAGCAATAATTGACTCGTTTTCATTTTATAGTATTCCATTGTGTATATTATGTTTACTCCACAAACATACCAAAATCTGTCATATATTTCATTGTTGATGGGCATTAGAGTTGATTCCTGTTTTAGGCTAATATGAATTAGGGCTGCTATGGATATTTCTGTACTTAATTTTTGGTGAACATATGTACATATTCCTATCAGGTGTATTAGTATACTAGAAATGCACCATTTCTGGTGTGGAGTCTATCAGTTCTTCTTTCTCTTAATTTGTTTGTTTGGTGGCATTGGGTCCTAGTTGTAACACACAGGATCCTCGTTGCATCATGTGGGGTCTTTTGTTGCTTGGCGTGGGCTTAGCTGCTCCACAGCATGTGGGATCTAAGTTCTGCAACCAGGGATTGAACCTGTGCTCCCTGCCTTGCAAGGTGGAGTCTTAACCACTGGACCAACAGGGAAGTGCCTATTTCAGTTCTGGTAGACATCACCAATTTTTCAAAGAGATTATATCAGTTAATTGTTTTGTTTTTTCTGTGATTTTTAAAAATTCTGATTAAATTCAGAGGAAAGACTACTTAAGAAGTCATCATTAGTTTTCTCTTAGCTGTTAAAAGGTTAGCATTCATGAAATAAGAACAGGTTATTTTAAAAAAAGGACAGTTAGAAATTGAAAATATGATAACAAATGAAAAGCACAACAGAACAGTGGAAATCTCTAAGAAATTTGAAGAAACAGGAAAAGATATGGAAAATATAAAATATATATAAAAAAATTAAAGAACCAGATCATGAGGTTCAATACCTTTGAAGTTCAAAGGGAGAAAAAGGAAAGAGGGAAAAGAGAAAAGGAGGAAATCATTACTCAAATAGTTAGAGAAAAATTCCTTCAACATTGCTCTTTTCCTCTGTGTTTGTTTTGACCTCTATGTTTCATGGGCAAAGTCTTACCACATTTATCTCTGACGTTGCTTGCCTATCACATTTAAGAGTGTGGCCCTGAAAGAACTGATGGGAAGTTCTGAGCCTGTGGTTGAGGATTACTACAAGCTTCACTGTACTTGTTGATCCAGTTGGACTATTATTTCTAGAAATAAAGGTTAGAGTTTCCAAGTTGAAAGGATCCATAGATTTCCCAGCAGAGTTAAAAATAATTTAAAAAGACTCACTCCATAACACATAATTTTGTACTTTCTCAAGTTCTACAAATTTCCAGGAAAAAGTCACACATAAAAGATGAAAATCAGATTGCCAGGGAATTGTCAACAGCAACAACAGAGGCTAGAATATAATGAAACATTGCTTCCAAATTTTTGAGGAAAAGTGATTCTTAGAATTCTACACTCAGTGAAATTCATAAGCAAATGTGAGGATGGAATAAAAACATTCAGATTTTTCAGACTCATGCTCTGAAAAATTTAATCTCCTATGAGCTTTTTCTCAGAGACATGATCTATTAAAATGAGTTAACTAAGAAAGAGAAAGACATGGGAGATCAGAAACAGGAGATTTAATATTAGAGGTTACAAAGGACTCTTCAGAATGAATGAAGGGAGAGCTAGGCATCGGGCATAGAGACAACAGGCATTAATGTCTAGAATTAACTTAGAATAAATTTTATTCTAGTTTTACCACTGATAGCTATTTAACTTTCTTGAGGTTTATTTTGCATACATCTATTGGGCTTCCCTGGTGGCTCAGATGTTAAAGAATTTGCCTGTAATATGGGAGACTTTTATTTGATCCCTGGGTTGGGAAGATCTCTTGGAGGAGGGCATGGCAACCTATTCTAGTATTCTTGCCTGGAGAACCCCATGGACAGAGCAGCCTGCTAGGCCATAGTCCATAGGGTCGCAAAGAGATTTGAAAGCATCTTCAATCATTTCTCCTGTGTATGCAAAGATACTGGGAAACAGTGGAGAGGACAAAAGAGAGGAAGCAGGAAGAAGGAAAACTTGAATATTCCCACAAATGCATGATTAGTCTATGAATTAAGGAGAGTCTTTGTCCCTGGATAATACAGGATGAACACACTTCCCCTTCACCCAGAGCAAGAGCAGCAAGTTTACTCTGGGAGGCTTACATGGTGACCAGTGCAGAAAAGGAATCCTGTAATATAATTAAAGAACCAGGGCTCTATAATTGACACAGATGTTCAGGTGTGAGTCACTGGAAAATGATCGTCATTCTCCCTGTGACATGAGACTGGTCCAGGTGAGGCTAGTCCGGCAGAGGAAAGCCCAGCGTGGTGCAATGTGCTCAGGTAAGGCAGTGGGTGTATTCTGAACGCCAAATTGCCTCTGGCTCAAATTCCCTTAGGTTTAAGCCCTGTATCTTGCTTGTGAACCCTCTGTTACTTGCTGCTGTTACTAAAAGCTGTTCTCACACTTGAGTGAGCCTCCGAACAACCCGGAGGGCTTATTAAGACACAAATTCATGAGTCCTACCTCCAGAGATTCTAGTTCAGTGAGAGACTCGGAATTTTCATATTTGACAAGTTCCCATGTGAGTCACACTTTTTGTGGCACCAAGAACAGAATTTTGAGGGATTCAGATAAGCAACAGATGAGTCCAATGGGAAAGCGTCAGTGAGTCAGGTGCTTCCAGCAATTGTTTTTGTTTTTATAAGGAAATATAGCCAATAAACAGAAGAGTGTACAAAATGTAGCAAATATGTATTTGTTCAGTTTAAAGGACAATGTTTTAAAAAACCCAGGTATTCACCAGTCAGGTCAAGGAATATAACTTTCTAGCACATTGGAACATCCTTGGGGTGACTTGGTTAGCTTTTATTTTCCTTGCTTTTTTCCATATATGTTCATGACTGAGACTGGCCTGTAATTTTCTTTTGTGTGTGTTGCCTTTGTTGGCTTTTGGAATCAAGGTTATGCCCATAAACAGTGCTTAGTATTTTTTTTCTCTTTTATATTCTGGAATAGTTTGTGTTAAATTAGAATTCAATTATATTTAAGTACAAATTTTTATGCATTCAACAGCCAAATATTCCTGCCCTGTATGAAGAAAAATATGTCACAGAAGCCAACATAAGTGACTAAAGTGCTGACTCTATCTTTTTTAAAAATTAATTTTTTATTGGTGTACACCTGATTTACATCTGTGTCAGTTTCTGCTGTACGGGAAAATAAACTGCCACACATATACACATACATACATCCACCGTCTTCCCAGCTCCATTCCTGTGTAGATCATTCAGTTCAGTCACTCAGTCGTGTCCGACTCTTTGCGACTCTATGGACTGCAGCACGCCAGGCTTCCCTGTCCATCACCGACTCTTGGAGCTTGCTCAAACCCATGTCCATTGAGTCGGTGATGCCATCCAACCACCTCATCCTCTGTCGTCCCCTTCTCCTCCCGCCTTCAATCTTTCCCAGCATCAGGGCCTTTTCAAATGAGTCAGCTCTTCGCATCGGGTGGCCAAAGTACTGGAGTTTCAGCTTCAACATCAGTCCTTCCAATGAATACTCAAGACTTTGCTTTCTGCCACAAGAGTGGTGTCATATCTGAGCTTGTTGATATTTCTCCCAGCAATCTTGATTCCAGCTTGGGCTTCATCCAGCCTGTCATTTCTCATGAGGTACTCTGCATATAAGTTAAATAAGCAGGGTGACGATACACAGCCTTGACGTACTCCTTCCCTATTTGGAACCAGTCTGTTGTTCCATGTCCAGTTCTAACTGTTGCTTCCTGACTTGCATACAGGTTTCTCAAGAGACAGGTCAGATGGCCTTGTATTCCCATCTCTTTAAGAATTTCCCACAGTTTATTGTGATCCACACAGTCAAAGGCTTTGGTATAGTCAATAAAGCAGAAATAGATGTTTTTCTGGAACTCTCTTGCTTTTTCGATGATCCAGCAGTTGTTGGCAATTTGATCTCTGGTTC